GGCCGGGGTAGATGCAACCCCCCCCAGGGAAAAGATCCTGCTCCGGAGCCGTCGCCCCGCTCCAGCCAGCAGAAAAGCTGGGATGTGAAGGACCGACACCTGGGAGTTGGCGTGGGCTTCCCAGTTTTCCTCCATAAGGGCACCTGCCCAAGGGCAGACCCCCGGAACGGCCCCCCCTTACCCCCCAAAGCTTCCTCCTTGACTATTTTGTGAGAGGATCTGCCTGGAAAGGCACAAATCCCAAAGGCACCGTTATTTTTCCAGCCACAAACAGCTCCCGGTTCAGAGAGGGAGCAGGGGATGCTCAGCTCCCGTGTCGGCGAGATTTTAGCTACACCTTCTCCCCCCTTTTCCTCCTGGTTTCATAACACTCCAGCTTTCCCCCTTCATCCCCCTCTCTCTCCCAGGCTGTAGCTTTGCAGTGCAGTGAGGATGATGCCGGGGAAGGATTTCCAGCTCCCGATCTGCAAAGATACTCCGGTGAATACGGGAGGTTTTGGCTGAACCCCATCGCCCCACTTAGGAGCATCTGGGTTCTTAATCAGGCCAAGCCCCGTCCCAGGGGACCTGAATCATCATCTACCTGGGGCCACCGGCCGCGTGACTGAGCCCTGCTGCACCCGGTGACATGAGCAGCATGAAAAGGGGTGGAGAGAATCCGAGCGAAGAAGCTGAATGAATTCGCTCCCGCTCCCAGGAATTACGCACCGCTCGGGAAAGAGGAGGCGGTTGAGAGAAGCTTTGGTTGCCTCCCATTGGCAGCTGCCTCTGCCGGGAGGTGGGTGCGGGAGCAGGGCTGGATGGGGCTGTGGCAGAGGGATGTGACGGCCCTGCCAGGTCCTCTGCAGGGACACAGCCCCCTCTGGGCTGAGATGAGTGTGGGCAGCCTCAGCCCCGCTGGGCTGATGGGCCACAAACAGCCACAGGACTGAGCAGGGATGGTCCTGCTGTTCCCACCAGGTCGGACAGGGTTTGCTGGATCCCCTGCCCAGCAGAGGGGAGGCTGCTGCAGCTCCAGGCTCCAGCTCCCACCAGCAGCAAAGCTGAGTGGGGATGAACATACACAGACACACTGTGCATCCCTCCAGTAAGTGCCCTCAGACACCCAGTTGCCCCAGTTTGGCCCTTGGATCCTCTCATCTGCAGCTGCCTCTTGCCCAAACACACACACCCCAGTAGGTTTCAAACTCCCTGATCTCACTGCTGGTGGGCTTGCACCTCCCATTCCCCCCAGCATCCAAGCCCTCCTGCAGCCTCACTCACAGAGATACAGACACCTGGGGGTCTAGGTTGACCCCCAGACTCCGGGGTGGTCCTGGGAGCCCCAAACCAGCCATCATTTCAGGGTGCCCTTAGACCATTGATCCTGGTCCCTGTGTGTATTCCCACACCTTCCCGCAGCGAGCAGCCACAGCTGTGCTGCAGCCCCTCTGCTGTTCCCTGTTACTCCAAAGGCTCTTGAAGAGCTGCAGGAAGGAAAAGTGCAGCTATAATTAGCGGTGCTGACGAATCAGGGTGGCAAACAAGCCCACTGCACCCACCAGCCTCCCAAGAACTGGGCCATCATGGGCTGTGCACCACTGGAGAGAGTCATGAAGTCCTGCATTCCATGGCTTTGCATCATCTTTGAGGATAAGGGGGTGGAAATGAGGCCGTTTTCTCGCCCTGTTGATTTTGCTGGGAGGAAGGATCTGGGGCTTTGGGATGGGTTTGTGTGGTGGAGGTGTCCATGTCAAACCCAGGCAGCAGAGGAGGTGGAGAGCTGGCTTGTGTGGCACCAGGGAACGCAGGTCCCAGCCTGCCCTGGCCCTTCCTGTGCCAAAGGTGACATGTCTGGGTTGTCCAGTGTGGGGACAGTGGGGACAGTGTGTCTCACTGCCTCATTGCCGTTAGAAACCCAGCTGCTGTGAGAAGCATCCCCAGGGTTTGGGGCACCCAGGGACATAGTGGGGACACTGAGGGTACCACGCCCCAGCATGCACAGACCCTCTGCATCAATGGCTTTGGTCAGGGAGGCTCTAGGGGTTCCCAGTATTGGGGTTCCCAGCACTGATGTTCCCAAAGTTGGCATTCCCAACATGGACATTTTCAGCATTGATATTCCCAACATCGACCTTCCCACTATTGGGGTTCCTTGTATCCCTGCATCCCTGTATCCCTACGTTCCAGTGTCCCTGCATCCCTGCATTCCTGTTTTCCTGCATCCCTGCATCCCACTGGCACCTGCACAGGCCCAGGACCCAAATGGCACCTGCAAGGGTTTGGATAAGCTGTGTAGCACCGAGCTGTGCCAGGAGGGCAGGAACAGCCCTGCAGGATTTGAAGCTCACTCCGATTTTCCCTCCCTCCCTCAGTGTTATCATTCCCACCTGCGGAATTTTGCTCTGAGTCCTCAAGCTCAGCCACTTGCCCGTGCCAGGGGAGGACAGTTTGAGGCACCTTTGCTGGCCCACAGCCTGTCACCATATGTCAGCTGAGCTCTGGCAAGCAGGGCTGCAGGGACAGGGCGTTTGCTCTGAAATAAAGGGCTTTTGCACCGTGTTTTCCTCCTTTTCCCAGGCTGTGTTTGCTGCTTGGGATGGCTACAGCACCTGGAGCGACTGCTTCCCTTCCACTGCCCTCCAGCAAGCCATAGGGAACATCAGGAGCCTGCAGGATGCCAGGCAAAATATTAGGGCAAATGATTGTGGTAATTAATAATTAACAATAACCTAATTTACCTGATGCAGCACAGAGGGAAGGAAGGTTTTCTGCCGTTGTGGAAGGGGGAAAATGGGACGGGTTCTGGAAACAAAAACCTGGAGTGGTTCTGCAGCTGAGAGCAGGGCAGCTTCCCTGCCCCCCCGCTGGCCTCCCGGCTGCCCCTGGCTTGAGCTTCCCAAAGCTTGGAGCGATTCACTCCGGAGGAGCATCCCGGGAGCACCACAAGCCCCGAGCTCTGGCGACAGGACCAGGAAGGTGGCAGCTCCACGCAGAAAAGCCACCGGCCGCTCCAGCCACCCATCAGCTCCCAAAGAAATCTGTGCCAGCAGGGATGGATTTATTGTTCCATTGTGAGCACTAACCCCCCCTCCCCAGCTGATCCCTCCCGGTGCCCGGTGCGGGGGGGGGGCCGGGAAGGCCACCCGCAG